AGAGTTGAGTGAGAGCGAGACTGATTTACCGTGTTTTCTTCATTTCGCGTGTTTTCTGAATTTTGGTCTGAGTTGGGTTTTATTTTACAAAATGATGTTTTGGTTGTTTTGTGTTTTTAGTTATAATTTTTTTTTCATTTTGCAAAACACATTTTCGAAAATAAGATAGAGAACGCGTTTTCGCTATTTTGAGAAATTAAAAACAGAAAATGGCTGAAAAACGATAAAGAGAACAGGGCCTAAGCTGTTAATTTTATTTGTTTTATGTCGTTACAATTAAAATTTTCAAGGGAATATAGATTTTTTTTTCTGAGGTAGATCTGTTTATTATTTCTTTATTTGATGGGAAGTTCTTGTTTTCAGCCATAATACTTCCAGTGGTTAAGAAGCAGCACCAGCTTCTCGTGACGTTGCTTTTATGTAATGCTGCATCAATGGAGGTGACAAAATGAAAATTTTATTGTAATTTTTTTTTCAACCCAAATTCCTGGTTCTCTGACAGGTTCAAGCATCTAGGAATGTTACGATGTTTAGGGAAATAACTTTTGTGTAAAGTGTGAGGAGGAAAAGCTTAGTTATCACTTTCAGTAGTTGCTGAAAAGGATAATAGTAGAAGTTTAGAGTGACACGATAAATGTCGGATTTGCAAGCATGATAAAATACAAATCTTTTGCATTAATCATACTTCTATAATTTTTGGACATGTCCCTCGTGATTGATGATTCATCTGGATGATTAAGTAGATTTGAACAAAATAAGAATTTAATCTCTCTTGTGGTTTGTAATGATGTTTAACTATCAAAGTATTGAGAAGGGAAGCCTAGAGCTAACGACTTTATGTATTACCAATATACAAGCTAAAGAACATGTAATTTGTTTCCTAACTTATGTGGCCGTCATGCATTTGTTATTTACCATGGTCCCAGCTTTTCATTTTTTTTTCAGCACTCTCTTGTTCTAGATTCTTTAGGTCTCTTATATCATGATTAGACATGCTTCTATGAGGAGAAAAAAGACAAGCCTTGTAATGAGGGTGAAATAAGTGAGGAGGAAATATATGCATTTTTTCTTATTTATTTAGTTGAGAATTTATGTCATCTACATCCTATTCTACTTTTATATCATCTTGTGTCTTGCAGGCCCTTCCGATATACCTTGATAGGCTTTTCAATCAATATGTTGCCATTATACTAGCTGTGACTTTTGTTCTAGCATTTGGAGAGGTACATCAAATCATGAAACTTTGTTTAGGTTAATATTTTTTATTTCATTAATGTTTAGTTTCATTTAATGATTGGATTCTCATATGACTTTATGTTGTCAGGTTATTCCTCAAGCAATATGTACTAGATATGGACTTGCAGTAGGTGCAAATTTTGTTTGGCTGGTCCGCATTCTAATGATAATTTGTTATCCAATTTCTTACCCTATCGGCAAGGTAATTTCTATGTTACATAAGTTAAAATGATTATTTTACAATAAGCTGGATATTGGATGTGGTGTTACGATTGATAGGACTCCTGGGAGCAAAAAACTAAGGGCATGTGCATTTGTAAGAACAATAAGATCATCAATTTAACTCAACAGAGTCTTATCACATACTTATCTAGGTTGCCTGTATAGAATCCTTTTCTTTTCACTTTCTGTCAATAATCATCTCCAAAAATAAATGTCAAAATGCTTAAATCGTTTCTAATTGCCGATTTCCACGTGATTTCAGATTCTCCTCTTCCTGTAAACTAACCATTAATATTAACTGTATCAGTTTCTTATCGTTTCAACTAACAACTATTGTTGAATATGCCTAAAGAGTCTCGAACAATTCTCATGCAATTTATCATCAATAAGTTCTACCTTGAACAACCATTAACATGATCATTTCATATTCTCTCTTCTGGTTTGCCATATGTCTACCTTGATAATCTCATCTGAGCTACACACATTTTATGTTGATTTTCTTTCTTTATAACCCATTATTGGGTTCACTATCATTGATTTTTAATGGAACATTAAATAGTTTCCTTTAGTTAATCAGGAGGAAGGATAAGAACCTTGTGATTTTTTCTCATCCTAATATCAAGCAGTTATGACCGACTTATGATTTTCAGCGAATAAAATATTTTTATACCAAAATCAATTCTGCTTTTCAATGGCAATATTGAAGCTATTAAAAATAGACTAAAATTTTGCAATTAATATGTATTTGGTGATTTGAGGTCTTATAAAGGCAATATCTTATCTAGGTGGGAGATTTTAGATCAATTAGAGGGTAAGAGATCTTAATGGAAGAGGTTGGTTCAAACAAGCTACAAGAGATCATCTTTTTAGGAGTTGATCTGTTGAAACGTACCGTAACTTAGGTGGATTAATGCAACTTCGAAGTTATTTAATAGATTGTTAAGTTTTAGAAAGTCTGGAAACATGATCACCAAATTGAAGGTATGGTGGAAAGCTTCTTGATGAGAACCAAAACGTAGAGAAGAAAGTCATATCTTTCTTGCTTTTGATGTACTTATTAAAAATGTATTTTTGAGTTATTTTTTTGATTTCAGATTCTAGACTGGGTACTGGGACACAATGAGGCACTGTTTAGACGAGCTCAGCTGAAGGCACTTGTCTCCATCCACGGCCAGGAGGTAACAACAATTTCCGGCATTCTTTTCTTTTCTTCTTTCAACAGAATGATACTGGATGACTATATTTAACGTTCAATTTTTTTGTGAGTGATAAAAACTGCCAAGTTTCATCTATCACATTGAGTTTTTCCTTGCATTGCATTTATCTATTGTTCTTTTCTTTAGGCTGGTAAAGGAGGTGAGCTCACGCACGACGAGACTACGATTATTAGTGGAGCACTAGATTTGACTGAGAAGGTATCTCCAATTGAGAATTAGCTTGTTGAAGACTATGGCTTTTAATTATTCATGTTCAAAGATTATTGAAAAATTATTCAACTTCTTAGTTCCTTTCGTGTAGAAGTGGAAGAGATATTGAAAAGAATAATTAAAATTTTTGACCAGCAAAATGTTTCTGTTTACTTATCTGACCTGCTACCCGTGTTTGCTTCATGATTCAATCCATAATAAATTGCACCTATTAAGTCTTTTTCTAGTTCTCTACCTCATCCCATATGCCTCCTATCATGACTGCGATAGGCCATAGTCATTTAAATATATAAAAATTGTTGTAATATTTTTAAAATCGTCCCCTTTCTATATTTCTCTCACTTCTTTACCAACAAATGCTAACAGACTGCTGAGGAGGCCATGACACCAATTGAATCAACTTTTTCCTTAGATGTAAATTCAAAGTTGGACTGGTAAGAATTGCTCGCTGAATTTTTCTTTACTGCACTTATAACAATGTCATTTTCTTGTCTTGTGGTCTAGTTTGTCGGCTTTGATTGCATAATGAAAAATATTTTCAATGCTGGGATAAATTGTAAATTTGAGAGTCCCATATAGGCCAATGCCAACATCCACCTGACCTTTTATTTGATGGCTAGTCACTTCTAGGTTGTAAAATTTGGCAACTTACACTGGTCGTTCATTATAGAATGCCTCAATGATGATAAATCTTCTTATTTATGATAGATTGCATGCATGTTATTGATTTCAGTTTAAGTGATTAGATTTTATTGGGGAAATATTTCATTTAACTCCATTATTTTAAATGATGGGCTTACATCAAGTGAAATATTGTCTAATTGTTCCCCGTTCCTTTTGTAAAGATTTTGATAAAATATTTTTGTGAAGTCGATGCCTATACCATAGATAAGAACACTAGTTCAAAGATTTTGGCACCAGTCACTACTAACATGAATTTTTGTGCTACTTTAGTTCATATATTTTTAGTCGAAGACAGATTTATAGTACATATTTGGAATGCTAAACTGGACAATTATTGAACAAGATTTTAGAATTTTTTCCCCCTTAATACTTTGCACTGCTTTTCAATCCTCTCTACCGAATATACCAGTAGATTTAAACTATAATTTTCCCCTTATCCCAGGGAGGCAATGGGAAAGATTCTAGCTAGGGGCCATAGTCGAGTTCCTGTCTACTCTGGGAACCCGAAGAATATTATTGGACTTTTACTGGTAAAATTTCTTAAACTGTAAATTATCTCCCATTCTATATGCAAACTTGCTAATCTCAAAACCCCGATAACTATCAGGTAAAGAGTCTTCTTACTGTGAGAGCAGAAACAGAGACCCCAGTGAGCGCTGTTTCTATACGAAGAATTCCACGGTGTGGCATTGAATCTTTGCATGCTTATAAATGAGTTTTTTAACTGTGAAAGGATAAAATTATTCATTTATGGAGGTTCTTCTCAGTGTTCCTGCAGATATGCCCCTATATGACATACTTAATGAGTTTCAGAAAGGTAGCAGTCATATGGCAGCTGTTGTGAAGTCTAAAGGGAAAATGAAAATACCTCCATCGATTGAAGAGAAGTCTGAAGAGAATGAAGTGACAAATGGGAATTCAGACTTAACTACTCCATTGCTATCGAAGCAAGAAGAGATGGCAGCAAGTGTTATTGTTGACATTGAAAGGGTTCCAAGGCCAGCCTCTAAAAACAACTTAACATATAATGATATAGTTACTAATGGATTGTCCCCTTCATCAGATGATACTGAAGATGGTGAAGTTATTGGCATTATCACCTTGGAAGACGTATTTGAAGAACTTTTGCAGGTAAAATCTACTGGTAAATTAACCGTTCACCTCTATTTTGCATTTTGCTTATGTTGGCAACCAATGTATCATTGCAATTCTTTTTGTCAATATAGGAGGAAATTGTTGATGAGACGGATGAATTTGTCGATGTACACAAAAGGTATGGAGGCATTACTTACAATTGTGTGATAATCTGATGAAAAGCAGTCTGACGTTTTCCATGCCACAGGATACGGGTGGCAGCAGCTGCAGCTGCTTCATCAGTTGCACGTGCCCCATCAAGTCGTAGGTTAACTGGCCATAAAGGAGCTGTAAGTAAACTATCTCTGTATCTTGTTCATACGGAGTTTGTTTTGTATGATAGAAAAATGTGTTCAAATATTTGTTGGAGATGACTGGATCTTCTTACAGACTAGGGACAAATATTGGGTCTAGGGAGAGAAGGAAGCTTCATCTTGTCAAGTTCTTCCTAATGATGCTTACAAGTTTGATTACACTTATTTAAATTAAATAAACAGTTCTTGAGAACCCATAAGAATCATCTCTGCTATACATAAGAGTCAATGATATACACCGTGAAAGATGCATACTTCATTCTTTTGAGTTAGATGTACTGATCTACTTGGTGAATGTGGTCAAATGGAGTTGTTAAGCATTAAAACTCAAGTTTTGAACTAATGCAGGAGATTTCTTGTTTGGTTTCCCCCTATTAATGTTTGCTAAAATATGTTTACCACTATTACTTCAACATGGTAACTGATGGTTAAGCTTGACTTATCCGAATCTCCTGCTCTAGAATGATGGGAAAGTTTGAACATGAGTACAAATATGACTAAGATTGCGCAACCTTTTCTTTTCAAATACATTTCTGTCTTCTTGAATTTCCCCAGGGAGGCCAAAATAAGCCAGGGCAGACTCCCAAGAAGTCAGGCAATGATGACTCGACCTTTGCAAGATTGCAAAGGAACCTTGGGGAGCCACTTCCTGGTAACAAAAGATAAATATGAGCTTCAATTGTTTGTGCTGAACACCCCGCTGATGGAGTTTATTGTAATTGTGGTGGAGAATGGAAGACTAGAAGTTGTTGCAATTGTATGATATACCTTTGAGAGTTTGATGGAGATTATTGTAATTGTGGTGGAGAATGGAAGACTAGAAGTTGTTGCAATTGTATGATATACCTTTGAGAGTACGTATTGTTCTGTGTTGACGCGAAATTTTTGCAATATAAATAAATGAAAGCCAGGTTATTAATGTTACATTAATATGCTGGGTTCTAGAATTATGCATTTCTGTTTGTTGCTGATTTGTCCTTTCAAAAATCATTTGCTACTGGCAAAGAGAAGCAAAAATAGTCGAGGAACATGCATTTTCTGGTGCACAATATTTGACAGGACGATTGGCTACCTTTTCGTGCATATCTTGTGTGCAATCCTTGACACGATTATGATGAGCAAGTTTTTAGCTTTTTAATTTTACTTTCTTGTAAAACTCCTCGAAAGAAAATAAGTTTATTTGATTACCAAATAAAAAAAAAAAAAAAA